CAGAGTACAGGGCTCCTGCACCGCCGCCTTGCACTGCCGAGCACAGGCGCTCTGCTACCCAGTTGGGGAGGGACTAGCTTTCTTTTTTTTTTTTATTGATTATGCTGTTACAGTTCTATTCCCCCTTTCATTCCCCTCCACCCTACCCCCCCATCCCCACCATTACCCCCCCTTTAGTTTATGATCATGTGTCTCAAGTCCTTTAGATTCTATATTTCCCCTACTATTCTTACCCCCCCATCTATTTTCTATCTACTGTCTATGCTACTTATTTTCTGTACCTTCTCCTCCTCCCACTCCCCTGTTGCTAACCCTCCTTGAGATCTTCATTTCTGTTTCCACTCCTGATCTAGCTGTCCTTTTAGTTTGCTTTTGTTTTAGGTGTGGTTGTTAATAACTGTGAGTTTAGCCAAAATTAAAATGAAGGAGAGAATCCTAGAAGCAGCAAGAGCTAAGGGGACAGTCACCTACAAAGGAGTCCCCATCAGACTGTCAGCAGATTTCTCAAAAGGGACTAGCTTTCTACACTTGACCCAAAGCATGAAAAAAGAACACCTGACATGCAATTAACTTATAAATCAGTTTATTTACAGATTTTATCTTTTCTTAAAGTACATTTCAGTTAACAAATCTATTTACACAGGTGTACATGGGAGCTCATCCCGGTTATTTTACAGATCATACTTACAAACCACACCCTAAGTCTTCTGTGCAAAGCTGCACTGGGTGTGACTATTGGCTGAAAACGGCCTGATGACCAGGCTATTTACACGTACACAGTAAACGGGTTTGTTTTTCATGTCTGCACGATACAGTACACACACGGAGGCCAGGCCTCCCAGAGAATGCTTTGCAACATGTTTCCCGAGAAGGCTTTGCAAAGTCCGGAAGGAAAAGCTATTAAACATTAGGTTAATTAAAATGACAGTACCTCCTTTACATCAGTTTACATTTTCTTCACATTTTTATAATACAAAGATATTTTATTGAATTGCTGCACAACCAGTTTAAGATGATTTGTAAACATGTAAATTCCTACAATTTGCATTAAACATCATTGTAGTTTCTATCATTTGCTCTTTGAATTAATGTTTTATTCACTAGTATTCTTAAGGTAGTAAAAGAAGATGTAAGTTTGAACTGCTTGCAGAAAAGTTACGAGTCTCTCACGCTGTGCGAGTACACACTTTATTCAAGTATTGCAAAAAGCTAAGGCCACTTTTTTTCAAGACAAGAAAGTGAACAAAATTGTTTTTATCAATAGGCCACAACACTCTTATGAGCAATGAAATCTCTTCTGAAAGATAATTTCTCAGAGACCTGTAGTCACAGAAGGAATCTTCTTTTCTTTTAGGTAAAAGAAAAACAAATCACCTTCCCTTAACTACTTTTGAGCTCTTCGCGCTTTTCCCTAGAGTAAAAATTCCTGTTTAGACCTGAAGAGGGAATCTACCCTGTACTTATTTAACCCAGAGTTAAGCACCCTGGACAGCACAAATTGTTTTGGACTCAGAAATAATCTGAAGCCTGTATGTTGGTTTACTACTAAATTCTGAGTGCTATTTTAAAAGATATTACTGCTGATGCAAAGATCTTTTTCTTAGAGGAATTATGAAGAGAGAGTGAAAGAGGACGGGGGTGTGGGGAGAAGGAACAGAGATTACAAAGAGGGGGTACTTAGATTCGTGGTTAAGAGGCAGACAATTAAAAAGATCCCAGTGAGGAACCAGCGGCCGGGTGTCCGCATTCATCATTTCAACACTAACACTGAACCCCTTTCGATGATATCCAGATAGTTAAAATAACCAGAAATGTGCTAGTTACAGGTTCCTTTGCTTTCTGCTGCCTAACTACGGGTAATTATCTCTAGCAAGGAGTAAGATGACCAACTCCCGCCTCTCGCATGGAACCCACATGCCGAGGCACCGGTGCACGCCGGAACCGGGCCGCCACACTCTCAGCAGTGCTCCTGAGCCCGGACGGCTCATTCCACGGGCTCACAGCACTTCTTCCTCTTCTGAAATCACAATGTCAGAAAGAATAAAGATAAAATTTCTTGTTCAAAATTGATTTCTGTCCAACTAATGAGGATGTAGAAAAACAACCTATGTTCCTATTACATTTTTAATATTCCTTTATAAAAAATTTATAGCAGCTGAGAAGTTTCAGTGTCATAAGGACAGTTGTTATCCCACAAGCAGCCAAAGGATGCAGACAAGGTGTTCCACTGTCTTCCAAATGACACAAGCTGCAAAGAAAAGCCCTTGCTTTTCCTTGGCCACGTGAAAGCAGTATCTCCACACTACTGGTTAATGACCCCAAGAAACCCCAGCTTCTCCTAAGTCAATTCACTCATTATGGCTACGAGACTACAGCCCAACATCCAAAGCCCAGAAGAAACGCTGGCAACGCACAGCTCGACCCGAGCATTTCCCAAGAACCAACCACAACATTTCAGTGCTTTCCTTATTTGTCAAGAGCTATCATACCAGTCATTGTGCAAAATGCAAATATTCCAATGTTATTTCATTAAGTTTCTCATAATGACAGGATGAAACCAAAGAGGAACGGAAGTGTGCATAGCGAAGCATTTGAGATGCAAAGGCAAGTTTGGAGGAAAGATGCAGAAAGGAACGAATGTGCACACAAAGATTATACCATCTTTGGGTTGTTTCTAACATACTTTGAAGCAGTAACGTTCCAGGATACTTGTAAATAGGAATCCAGTGGATGCCTTATATCATGCTTCTAATCAGGACCTTCAATATTAAGGCATTTACATTCACGCCTAAGATTATCCACATTCTTCTAGATACTTGAAGAAGGACACACTGATTAAGAGGAACCAGTCGAGAAGGCAGGGCACTGAGGTCTCGGGAGAGCATCATTGCACATGCTCTGATGTAGCAGCTGGAGCCTGGACAAGTTTTCAGATACAGGTAATAGTTGTGAGAAGCAATGCTGCAAGAGAGGCAGAACTGAATTTTATATTGTCTTTAAATCATCTTATCCCATTCCTGCTACTGCAGGTGATCTTGGAAAAGCCCATCTTCTTTCCACTGTGTATGGGTTTGTTAAAACTGCAGGTTTCCTGTGCAAAGACTATGAACCAGAGAAGCTTCAAGAGAGAAGTGGAACTATTCTAAGAAGATTCTTTCACTTGGGAATAGGGACGCACATTTTCAACTTAATAATTTATCTTAAAATAAATTAAAAAATGTTCCATAGCACAAAACAAGCACACAAACGACAGACAATATCTTTTTGTCTTTGGTGCACACACTCACTTCCCAAATCATTCAAGTAACAGCGTCTCTGGTTTCTTGGGGAGAGACGGGGGCTGGAAGGTCCAAGGCCAACATGAGTGACGTCCACTTTTGCCGTGCCTGGGTGCCTGAGACGGTCCTGAGGGTCTGGGACTCCGGGAGCAGCTGGCGGAGGTTCGGAAGGGCAAGGAAAGTGCGGGTGGACGCAGGGCAGAAGAGCCAGCCCGGCATCAGTCCTTTGAGCTCGGTCTTCAGTGAGGGCATGTCTGTTTTCATGCCCAGATAAACTAGAAATGATGCAAAGGTTTATAATTCTTTCTGTGGTGCTCGAAAAGCAAGGCTGTCTTTGATTTCTGTTAACCCGACGGTGCGCTTGTTGCTGCTCAACTACAATAATGGAAGAGAAGGGCCTTCAGAAAGAAGGGAGAGGAACTCCGGACTGTAAAACAGGCACTGATTATTAAACTTGCCTATGCAGAAGTGGTTAAGGGTTTAACACTGTTTAGGGACGATCGCAGACCAGGATTACGTGTCAAAAATGGTACAATGCATTTACCTATACTCCTCTCCGACCTGACTTCAGACTCAAGACCGTGATGCCCTAGTCTAAGCTACGAGGTAAGTCTGGTGCTGGCAGCCTTGCCACGCGCCCAGTTGGGGCGCTACCAGAGGTGCAGAACCAGGCTGTGTGTCAGCATCAGGTGTGTGCTGCCCACCGAAACCAACGACCGCTCCAGTGGACAGTCTCTGAAGCAGAGGCTGTAGTACCAGATACACCGCACTGTCCCGGGGACTCCACACGAGCAGTCTCTGAGAGCAGGCGCCAGGTCCGGAAGCACTCTTGCTATGATGGAGATGGGGTGTGTACCGGGGGGCAGAAAGGCCCAGGACTCATATTAGCACTCAGTGTTCGGTTTATTTGCAAGATGTCACACAAGTAGGACTCTCCCCTGCTTTTCACTGATTCGATTCAGAACATCGATAGTGTCCCTGATCAAGGTCTCGAAGATCCCATCAGCCAGCTGCATCTTCACACACAACTCGTCCTCGTCATAGTTCACCCACTGCGCCTCCTCTTCATGGAGCTCCTGGACCTAGAATTTAAAACTCAGAGGTTAGAGGTTCCCACAAAAGCTAGAGAAGTTACTGTATTTGCTGACTTTGCAGCCCCATACAGGCTGAGGAAACAAGACAGGCAAAGAGGGTACATTACGTGATGATAGCGTCCCTTTCCAAGTTGCAGAAAGTGTGAAAAACCTCAACTGTCAACTGAAGCAGCTTTGAAACTATCAAATGGCTTCAAACTGCCAAAATGGAATTTGATGATATTCTAGTATTTTATAGTTATTAAGGATTACAAGAATGTTGTCTGTGTCAACGTAAGATAATGTGTATAAGAACTTAGGGGGGAAAGAAGAAAGCAAATGACCAGTTATATGGTTTTATAATTATAAAGTGCATATATATACTCAAAAACAATACTGGGGGGAGGGGGTGTGCAGGGTGGAGGGGAATGAAGGGGGGGAATAGAACAACTGTAATGGCACAATCAATAAAATTTATTTTAAAAAAGATAAAAAACACAAAAAACAAACAAACAAAACCAATACTGGATATGATTCTGGGGTATCATAAATAAATGAGTAAAATTTGTTTTTCTAAGTGTATTATCACTTAAGCTTATTTTAAAGATCACTGCTATGCTTATGCAATACTTGTTCTTTTGCATTTTAGGATTTTTGGATTCCTAAGGTAAACCACAATCAAATGAGAATGAACTGCTCAAGATTTTTTGCTTGTTTACAATAAAAATTTTAAAAGAAACACAGAAGGCTTAACACACATAATGACGTCTGCAGCCTGGAGCCCAGGTGGAGAAGGTGGACTCTACACCCTGATCTAGTTCCAAACTCAGCAGCTACCGCAGGGACGGGGTCTCCAAATGGAAGTCTAACTTGGCAAAAAAGCCACGGAACAACCAGCTCCTGATTTGGCCTGATCACAGATTCGTCTTGAATAAGGCAGAGGAAGCGAAGGGGGGAACTTGCACCCTGTTGCCATTAGGAAGAAATGAGAAGACTCCTGGGAGGAAGAGACCACAACACCCAGGAGTCGGAGCGAATGAGAGGGAAGAACGGGACGGCTAAGACAGACCCCTGGCCGGGGTTGAAAACGTGTGACACGGTGGCTGCTACATTCTTTCTCTTTGAGGTTTTTTTTTTAAGATTTTATTTATTTATCTTTAGGGGGTAAGGGTTGGAGAGAGGGAGAGAAATATCAATGTATGGTTGTCTCTCACTAGTCCCCTGAAGGGAACTGGCCTGCAACCCAGGCATGTGCCTTGACTGGGAATTAAACCTCAATCCCTTGGTTCACAGGCCTGAGCTCAATCCACTGAGCTACACCAGCCAGGGTTGAGGGTATTGTTTGGAGGATATGAAACATCCATTCTTCGATTCCCTAACTTCTGCTGCATGGACAGATATGCCAACCAAAAGGACTCCGTGGTCAAAAGAAGGCTCCCTCTGAAAGTTTTGTGATGGGCCACCAGTAAATGAACATGTTTAACTCAGACTCCCCTGTACCATATTTCTTTGATCAAAGAGTCATCCTGTGTGCACGCATAAGAGATATTCTAACCTCCCAAGGAGCTGGTGCTCCTCTTTTATGAAGAATGTCACAGGCAACAGCCTAACACGACACTTCTCAAGCTGGAGCTGCAGGAGAACCATGTTCTGGGACACACGGATGTGTCCCCACAAAAGATTTCACACCTCCCATGAATTTGTTCATTTGTTCAAAGTTGCACGGCTTCCCTTTTTCTGTTATCTCAGCCTTTAGCATTAAATCTATTCTGTGAGCAACTCCTTCCTCAATAACAGAATTTAGAAAGCACTGTCCTAAGGAACTCATTTTTGCCCTTACCGTAGAAATACCGGCTTCAGGACATCACCCGTTACACCTCCCAGCGTCCACTCAGTGAGCCCCCTCGGCCAGCCCCCCTCTGCTCTGGTCAGTATGGGCGGAAGCTCTGCTCCTCCTCAGGAACAGGAGCCGCTGCCTTCTCAGGCAGGAGAGCTAATGCGGTTTCCTTCCTGCTCTGGCCGTCAGAAAGCACAAGCCCAACGTGGAGCTGCAACTACGGCAACCAATGGGTTTTGGAGCCTGTGGATCTGCCCCCGTGTTTCCTTCTGGTTTTTAGAGTCTGGTCTATTCCACATTCCCCCTGCTCCTGAAGGTGTCTGTAGGTAAATTAATGTGTGCTATATAAAAACTAATTCAATTACATTAAAAAGTCAGTGTAACGATCATTTCATTCTCCTTTTTTCCCCACAGGAAATTGGTACATATAGACATACATAAATATTCATTTAATCCTCTTCATACTTTTCTCAGTAGGTACTATGACTATCACCCTCACTTTGCAGATAGGGAAATGAGGTGCCAAGGAGTTGGATAACTAGTCCAAGATCACTCTCCAAGTACGTGGCAGAACAGGGCTTTACATTCAGCCTGCACTGGCCTCTTCTCAATTCAGTTCCTTAAACTTGGCTTCCTCTCAACTTTTTATTGCTCGAGTTCTCCACACCTACAAAATACTGTTAATATTTATCTACTGAGTTCAAAAGAATGCAATTTCCAAAACTGAGGGGCAGAAATGCAGCAAATGAAAGCTATCTGACTTTACTATTACAGACTTAAGAGCAATTCTATTTCCTTTTCTTTTTAGACTCTAACTATGTTTCGATTTCAGAAGAGATGATCAAAATAAAAACAGCTCAGTTATATACACCGACCAGGATATGATCCACTCTGTCTCTCTTCTTTCTTCCAAATTTCATCATTTTCTGCCAATCTGTTTTGTGGTTTGGTTCCTTTTTAAGACTGAACAACTTGAGTACTTCAGTTGCTATGAAATTCTGTAAAAATAAAAGGAATGAATAAAACACAAATAACAAAGTTCCTGAGATTTCATGCTATAATGATGCAAACAGACTTATGCAAATATAATTTATAATATTTATGCAAATATAATATACAATAAAAAAATACAAATTTCTTCTCCTTAGCAATTTGAAAAGTATTTCAGAAGCTCAGATTTTATTCACTTAAAGAATTTTTGTTTTTACACAACATGCAAAAGTAAAACAGGTGGGTGGAGGTGGGAGAGGGTACAAGGGGGGATAAGGAGTAATGGAAAAAAATACAATAAAAAACTACTGAAAAAATAAAGATAAACATTTTAGATGTTAAAAAGTAAAACCCACTGATGAATCTGCAAAGACAAAATTGCTCTAGAATCCCCTCTACCAAGAACCACTATTAGCTGACTTTGAGCTGGCAAAACGATCACAGCAAGCCTAACATAAATCGCTGACCCTGAAAAGTCCAACACAAACTGGGGAGCAACACCACACAAGCAAAGTATACGGCTGTGGCCGGGTTGTTTATTTTGAAGCACCAAGGTTCAATATGTTAGATTTTAAAAATATTAACCAACATTGCAGTATAAAAAGCATAATAGTTTTACTGCTAATGCTATTTGAACTATTATCATTAAAAAACTTTACAAAATGTGATTTCAATATTAAAATTAGTGGGGAGCATCACTGTACATTATATTGATACACGCTCTGATACTGTTGGTATGTATTAAATACCTTGTCTTATTTTCATTTGTTCTTTATTAATAAAACAATTTGGATTTTTGCTATCTTAAGTATATTTAAAGTATATTAAATAGGTATATAAGTCTATATATTATAATCTTACTACTTGTTAAAAAAGAATGTTCTTAGTGAAAGGGCACACTTATGACTCAGAGAATCATTTCAGATGATTCTCAAACCACCAGTGTGCCCCCAAAGCCCAGCACTCCAGCCTGCACACGCATGCACACACACACACACACACACACACACGCATGTACAGCTGAGGCTGTGTCATCTGTGGAGGGCTAACGGGAAGGAAGTACACCAGTGTTTTGAGAAACCTCCCAAGGTAGTTCTATTACTCTAGTCCTCAAAGTTGAAAATCATTAAAAACATTTTTTTAATGAATCAAATTAATCTTTGAAAACTTTTTCTGTAAAGGGCCAGATTATACATATTTTAGCAGGAAAGTAGACATAGACAATATGTAAACCAATGGGTATGGCCGCAGTCCAATAAAGCTTTATTTATAGCAACACATGGTGGGCTGGACTCAGTCTGTTCTGCCCTCCCCGATGTAAGCACACATCAAATCTTATAAATACCTGCCGGCGTTCTGCCAGTACAAAATATTTTCAAGAGCTTTCCGTAGTTAATAACCCTGTATTATATACTTTTGAAAGTTGCTAAGAGACTAGCACTTCAAAGTTTTCATTACAAGGAAGTCAATTTGTGACTCTGTGTGGTTAATAACCAGACTCGCTGTGTGACCTTCCCACAACACGCAGGGTCGGGCAGAGGCAACGCCTGCTGGAGTGTGGCCGGTCAGGCAACAATGTGGGTGCAGTAATTTATAGTTTTAATTTGAATGTTTCACCTAAAATGTCCCATGGTGTGCTTGAGTGTGATATTATTATGTTACAGAATTACTTATGATTTTGTCATAAAAGAGAGGGGCTATTTGTGCTTCACCCTGTATGCAAAACGAATCACTATAATCACTATGTTGTACATCTACAACCAATATGTCAATTATGCCTCAATTTACATAAAGACTGTTGTTCAAGGCAGTACCATCACACTATACACCAGAATAACGTGTATGTTCCTTTAATGTATTTGGATAGTCCACGTGGACTCCTGGATGATGTGAGAAAACACATCAGTAAGATGAGTAATTAGAGGTACGCTCTCTGAGGAAACGACAACTTTCTATGACCAACCAAGTCCGGAAAACACAGCTCTGGAGCCCTGCCACTTAGAGTGCTCCCAGAGCCAACAGCACTGGCACCACTGGGAGCCTGGCAGAAATGCAGAATTTCGGGTCCTCCTTCAGACCTGCTGAGGAGGAACCTCCATTTAGACCAAACGCCCGGCTGATTCACGTGCACACTAAAGTGTGAGAGGCGCCGCACTGAAAGTACAGCATTTGCTGAAGAAAGAAAGAAACATGTGAATAGGAAGAGAACGTCCGCTGATGTAACTCTGAAGCTGGTCTGTTGAGAGTCCTTGTGGCTTCAAGGGCACCTCATCTTTTCAGGGGCTCCTTAGTTAACAAACAATGTTTTTATATAACGCATTACCATCTCACATATTTCAAAAGCCATTACCAATGTGAAGCCTCCAAAACCCAATATAGAAAGGTAACATCCGTGTGTCCGGGGCGGGCATCCTTCATACGTGATGTGCTTTCAGGTATACTACTAGGATATTACACTTACTTCTAGATCAGCAAACACTCACCTAAAATGCCTGTGAGATGCAATAATTGGTCTCCCTGAGTATTTCCTAATTTTTCTCAGACATTATAAATTGTCTGTATCTGAAAAGTCTATTAAAAGTTATGTTTTGTTGTGCAAATCTTGAGGGTTCAGGGTTCCCTCTCACACCCACCCTTCCACTGCTCATGGATTCAATTAATTTACTGAATACCCACGATGAACAGGCCTTGAAGACAGATGAATAATACAGAGGAGTACCTAATTTTAGAGTATATTTGGATCTGTATAAACAAACAGAACGTCAAGAAGTTTGCAGTTTACCTTGATTTCATCAAGGTCGTTTGGGTTCTTCACTCGTCGGAAATAACTAGAGTTGATTCTGCATGGCTTCATCCAGACAGGTTGATTCAGGTTGGGATCCTCAGCAAATATTTCCTCAAAAATCTCTTTTGTTAAATCAAAAACCGCCTTAATAGAGAATAAAACAAAATAAAATGGCTAAGAGCCTAACTTTCCAACAAGAAGGAAGCTCAGAGGCCGGATTTCCCTCCCTGTCACCTACCTGTCGGTAGACCCGTTTACTGGTGCTCTCCAAGTCCAGCCCCTTACTGGCACAGCCGAGCAGCTCTGCAGGGATACCGATGCCCTGAAGGTCATGACCCAATTCTTTCCACTTCCAAAGTTCTTCTGCGGCACTGCGTACAAGAGTTTCGACTTCCTCTGCAGTATGTGGGACTGCCAAGAGTGTTTCACATGGCTTTTGGGGAGCTCTTTTTGGTTCTGCCATGAGAGGTACAATGGTTTCTTCCACCTTATTTTTTTGGATCTTGTGAGAAGAGCTCAAACCAAAATCTTCTTCAAACCAGTCTTGATCATCTAACACGCTCAGGAACTCCCGGCTGATCTCAAGTTCAGCAAGTCTCTTAGCAAGCTCTTCCTGCCCACTGGCGCCAAATACTGGACTCTCCTACAAGAAATGGGACCATTCAAATAGAGCCTACTGAGTGACTACCGTTCACTTATGCCGTTTTTTTCAAGATAAAGCAAATATATTATCTGCATATTTACTATATCTCTAATAAATAAGCCAAATAAAAACACTATAGTAGGTACTAATAATGTAAGAAAAAAAACTGTCCTGCTTCCCGTAAGTCTGCTTACATAAGCTGAATCTGTGTAAAATGTTTATTGACTAACACTTGTTAATCAATATAGTTTTTGTTCCCTTTTTGTATCATTATTATTCTGTTTCTGTAGAACTGTCTTGTCTCTGGCGTATATGGAACTGGGGTATGAAATTTCTCACCTGTAGTGATTATTTGGTCAAGTTACTCACAATCATTACTTTTGTTCAACTGTCCGTGGACCACTTAAACAAGGTGATGGCCTGAGTGCGTGTTATAATGAATATAATTCAGTTTTATCAGAACCAATGTCACAACTAGTAATCTTTGCAGGGCAACTATGACTGAGTAGACATGGGGACAAATAATTTCACAAGCAAAACAGAACTGGGTTGAGAACCATTAGAAAGCCCCACGGAATCAACTGTTCGATGAATCTGCAAGGGAATCTAACTTGTGAACGGCACTCAGGGCTGTCAAACCAGCACACACCCGCCAGTGTTCGTGACCACCTATAGCGACCAGCCATGATACAACAGAGAACGATTATGCTTCCGACAGGAAAGCAGTCACAAGGCCTTTAACAACTAGCACAGTGGCCCTGGCTGGTATGGCTCAGTGAATTGGGCATGGGCCTGCGAACCAGAGGACTGTGGTTCAATTCCCAGTCGGGGCACATGCCTAGGTTGCAGGCCAGGTAACTATATATTGATATTTCTCCCCCTCTCTCCTTTCCTTCCCCTCTAAAGATAAGTAAATAAAAATTTAAAAAAAAAAAAAAGAAAGAAAAAAAACTAGCACAGTGATCTTCACCTAACAGAAACCACATCACCAAACCCATCCGTACTAAACATGCACTACAAAGGTGAGGTTCACTGATATTTCTTGCAGGCAAAACACTTACAGGTCGAGGACACATGTCCGGTGAGGAAATCTCTTCTTTTTCATCGTCCAATTCAGACCTTAGGAAGCAGCCTGGAACATCTGGTGACTGCTCCTCGAGATGTGGGGACAGGCCTTGGGCTGGGACTCTCTTTTGATCATCGTCGAGAAGTTCCTGATTGCTGAGCTGGATTTTCTCATTCCTGGCTTTTTTGATGTGTTGTAGCTGATTGACTGTGTCCGCCAGGAAGACGTCCAGTAAACTGTCTGTCAGTAAGCTGACTGTTTCCAGTTGTTGCTCTGACTTTTTTTCCTCACCTAGTGGTGCCCTCAGCTGGGCTTCCAGCTGGTTCTTTTCTCTCGTTAAAAGGTCCAGCAGTGGGGTACAGAGCTGTTCTGAAAGCTCGGGATACAGGTTCTC